CGGTAATAGAAACTAGGGTACACATTTTTAAAATATACTAATTTTTTTTAAAGCAAAATTTCAAATTTACTTTAGGATTTTTACAGTCATTGTTCAGGAGACAATACATCATTATTGCAGATAAATATATGAGGAAAGCAAATAATTAAATAATGACTATCTAGAAAGTTTTAACAATTATAATGAATGAATCCAACCTGTAGCATTTCCATTATTTCAAATAAAATTATGCCAAATGATCTGTACAGTAAAATCAAGGATAGATTACTTCTAAATTCCTTAGTAAAAATGAACCCCTTCAGAGATAATGGTATAACCTTATTTTACTGCTTTAAAATCAAAATACCTCATGATATAATGGTACAACCCATCATTAAAAATTTCTAGATCTAGAAAAGTAAGATTTATCTTACTTTTTTAGATCTAGAAAAGTAAGATATCTTACTTTTCAAGATCTAGAAAAGTAAGATATCTTACTTTTCTAGATCTAGGAAAGTAAGATAAATCTTGTGTCTTACTTTTCTAGATCTTACTTTTCTAGAAACCTATTGGTGAGACTCAATTTCAACATCAATTTTGTGTAATACGAGATGTTCACCACCCAATGATCATCGGATGGGACTTTCTAGTAAAGCAGAGACAATGCGCAATAAATGTCAGTTCTAGGAATCTAGGGCTAAATAGAAATAAGTATTCTCTGATTCCACGTCGCCAATATATTCCATTCTCATGCCCAGTCTCAACACTTTCTACTTTTACTGATTTCTGAAATGATAATCGAAGCCCGAGTGAAAACACCTAATTATTCACTAGGGTACGAAAATTACACCAGAGTACTGGAACCGAATTCAACTTCATGTTTTGTGCCAGCTAGGATTGTGGCGAAAGTGTCCGGAGGAACAATACATTTTATAAGAACACTGAGGCTGAAATTGCTTAAAAATTAAGAACAAAATAAGAATAAATTGAGGCTGAGGTAAAATTTCAAATGAGATTTTTATTATTAAAAACTAGAAAAATCAACAAATATCTGTACCTTATGTGAAGGTGCGACTATGCAAAACAGTAGGCCTACAGTAGGTGTACTGTATTCTTGGGCTATTTTTACCGGGGCCTTTTTTCCCGGGGCCTATTTTTCCGGGGCCATTTTACCTACATTCCAGTACAGTGTATAATCCTGTAAAATATTTTTTTTTTTATGTTTGAAAACTGTGTTAAATAAGAACAATAAGAACATTTTGAGCCTGAAAACGGCCAAAAAATAAGAACACTGAGCCTGGCCAAAATTTTACTGGTGCTTATAAAAAAAAGTGTATTACAATTTCACACAAAAATGAATAAATTGAATACTAAATGATGAAATATTTTATTGTCCAACATAAAAGAAGGAAATGCATTCGAAAACGTGCAAACATTTAAATTCAAGCACACTGTCCCGAATATAAAAATCCATATTATAAACAAGTTAAATTTATTTACAAAAGGTACAACAAATTTAGAAGAAATACATTAAATAATTTATCATTAATTATATTATTATTTGACTTTTGGAGTTTTAAAATATTTTGAAATATAATCATGTCATACGTCCACCAGTGATTGTACAACGAACGCAAACATACAGTACGACTATCTGGCCCGAGAATTAGTTAGGTGGATGGAATTGGCTACAAATGCGTATCGGGAAGCATTTGTTCTTGTTTTAGGGATACAAAATATATCACTGCACAAAATGTGTATGATAGTATGATAAAACACTTTGGATCAAGGAGATAATACATCATGTACACAGCACATATTAAACAATATATTATTACAAGATGGCAATCTCACCAAAAACGTTATAATCAACCAGTGGTTTTACCTCGTATTCTTATACATGGTGTACCGACATTTTATTTAATTTGTTATCGATACTCATCATGTAAACCTTCAAGAAATATTTTAATATTTGTATTGTAAACATCAAAAACACTGCCATCTCACCATGTTCTATTTCATAACTTAATAAAAACATATTGTCAAAAGTACTCGTTAGTTTCAAATACATTTTTGGTATTTATTTGATACCATTTGACTTGTTATTTACTGTATACATACACACTCTTATACACATCT